ATTTTTATTAGTCCCACTATGAAGTGTTATGAATTATTTAGACATCGTTTATTGAACTACATTTTCCATGCAGTTGATTAATTATGGTTGTTATGAACTTGATTAATGATGAATAATATAGATAGGTGGAAGCTGCTATTCTTTTGAATGCTTACTTGATGATCTAACTCAGCTAATTCTTTAGAGATGTAGATGCCGCAGAAGGCTAGAATTGTTGCTGACCCTTGCATTCTTCAGTCAACAGCTGAACCCAAAAAAAAAATTGAACAGATGAAATAGTAACTCCAAAGTTAAGTATTTCTTTCATTTTGTAGGCCAAGGGTATGTTTAACTAATGGGTTCATTTTTGTATTTGTAACCAAAGACGTTGGTTGTATCAAGAGTCAACTTCTCCTATATTAATCATTTGTAAATAGTATTAAACTAATGTGTTTTGTTAGTATATGATTGGTATATCTCAACAAAGGGCAAGTAAGGTTTGAGTCCTTCAAATTTTTTACTAATCTGGATTTTTCAAGGTAAGTTCCAAGGTTGAGATAGAGACAAACAGAGCATTGCTCGCAAAAGGTAGCCAATTCAAAATTGAAATTTTCAATTTGAGAAATCCAAACAGTTACGGACAATTCCATGTAAACTCATGTGAGATTTAGTGATAACAGTGAAGCCACACAAAAGAAACAAGGACTAAAAAAACTAAAGAACGAAGGAAATATATATTTTATCAGAAGGGATAGCAAAAATCTGAAATGTGAGGACCTCCCCAATCATAGAAAAATTCACGACAAATTAGCTGTGTAGTATTTTCTTTACATCTATGTACTTACAGTGGGTTATCCAGGTATGATTCCAGATACGTGGCTTAGTTTTAGACATTTCCCTTATTTCAGTAAGAACAACATAAAGACATTCATTCCTAGAAGCGATAATACACTACTTTCATAGAAATTATACTGGGAAGAAAACATATGGCATTCATTTTTTTTAATTAAAAAGGGTATCCAACATACTTTACTCATCAAGGAAAAAATGGTATTCAAATACCATGAGGAAGTGACAACTATGATCTTCAGAACGACACAGTATTTTCAATAAAGTAGAAAGGGTTCCTGGTAGCTACAAACGCTCTTGAAGTGCTAACAACTTGAATACAGTTTATCTCTATTCTTCTTCACTTTCTTGCTCTTCAAAGTGAGCACTATAGTCAAAGTATTCCTTAAGCAATAAAGATAGCCTCTATGCTTCTCTTTTTTAACCTACAATAAGTCTCCAACTATTCTCTATTTTATACCATCATATACTATACCTACATATGTTCCTAGATTCCACACTGATTAACCAACCAATAAATGATCTCTTTGTTTCTTGACAAATGCAGCCAGCTGTCTTCTGTAATCCAGCCTTTTTCTTTTGGCAAAAGCACCAGTAATCTTCAACCTGAGTCTTCTAAAGACCCCAAACTCTTTCCATTAAGCATTCCCTGCTTTCGCCAGGACTAACTCATGAAAAGCCATGTAAACATATCACCAAAAGATATAGTGATTTTGACAGGAGAGTCTCATAAGTGGAACAGCAAACGAACTTATCAGGTTGAAGACAACAAACTTGAAGTGGACTTGCTCAGGATCCTTAGCACCTCCAAGCACGCAAATAAGCATCATATATACACCAGGGACATCTTCCTCTACCCACTCATTACAATTACAAGATTCACCTTCTTCTTTAATCCAATTTCTAGTTGTTGTTTCAATATGTCCTTGTTTTCTCTGAGTCTCTGACCTCTTTGGCCTGAACAATGTTCTGGCAGTGATAGTCCCATTAGAGAGTAAATGGTGGTTTGATCATTTGACTCTGGTTCTTGGCACGTTGTTTTGCTATGAACCAGAACCAGAGCAAAATGAGATGGAGACATGATATTCCAAGCTGTTCCTATAAGCAACCTTTCAGCCTTTCAACTAGCAAGAAACAAAAAGGGAGAAAATGTCTATTCAGCATAAAGAAGTTTCGGAAGCAAATGGAAAGCCAATAGAACCAATATGACACACTCGACAATTCTATAAATTGGATTCCATGAATTGACAAAATAATTTCAAACATGAATGGAATAAAAGATTAACTCATTACAACTAGGTCAAACATTCTGGCATATTTACAGTCTACAAACTGCTTATTTTGGAACAGGAAAGATGAAGTCTCCATCAGACGTGATAAAGTTATTATCTTTTACCAATGGCAGGACAAGTACAATCAAACTATTTTCTGTTTTTAGCTTTAGAAGAAATAGTCAAATAGAACTTTTGTCACTCCTCTAGATTTAAGATTCAACTTTTTTAATCTTCTGACATATATTCTTAAATGATTATAAAGAATGTAAGAACTTTAGATCTACAAGTACACAATATGTACATCATATTCAAAAGAATTTTACATCTCGCTATCTGGTGATAATTTTAGACCCAGCAGCTTATTTTTAAAATTTAACATCTAAGATTTTTATTTTTTGAAAAACAAACATCTTAGATTATAACTACATTTTTTTACATATAGATACAGCAAATAAGTTTATTGGTTTTTGCATTTCACCATTTCTATTGAGCATAAACAAAAGCCAAATCTTGTTCGATAGAGGGTATTTGAACTTTCCAAACTTTGCTAGTGGTAGATAAGCAGTTTCAAATTCTGACCCATTTCACCTAACAACAGCAACTATTTCACATGCAATTTCAAGTAATCAAACATTCAAGACTTGCAAAAAGATAAGGCAACTTACCACATGACAATGGAGGCTTCAGAATGAATATATTCTATTTTCATCAAGATGGCTGCGATGATTTTTTTCCAGGAATATTTACAGAAAACCTACTCAGCGCATCAGAGACATCCATGCCCTTCGAATTAAAATAATCAACAACCACAACATGGCAGAGTGGTTTATCATAATTCCAGATGAGCCGGAAAAAATAAGATCCTGATTATCATTTTCAAGTTTCTCCAAGAATTTTTCAAAGCTGTCAAATAGCATTGAGGCACCAGACACAACCCACAAGCTGAGAGCTGCAAGAGCAAAGTCTTGGGATATATTATTATTAGGTAACAAAATAATTGCCCCAACAAGTTCAGGTGTGGGTGCACGACAATTGCAGAGCATTAGAAGGCCTCCAACTGCTATGGCAGTAAGATTTTCATCTACTTCACCACAGTAGAAAAATTCCAAGATAATTTTCTCCACCTCAACATCAGAAATTGCAACCTCTGACCTAATTATCATCCATAATTTATGCTGTTGAAGACAATCCCAGTTTAGAGACCGTTTAATTAGGTTCAGAAAGACATCAGTATTCTCCCCAAAGACAGACAATTTCTTTGAGCAAATATCAAATTGTATTTCAAGAAGATCAGCATGACCCAATTGATGCACAAGTAATTTGATGATCCCTTCCTCACCAATGGATAAATCAGGAAGATAGGAGAAGATGCTAAAAAATAAAAATTTGATTCTTTTCTTTACCCATTCACAGCAAAGCATTATGTCAGCAAACAGGAGCTTTGAAAGAGAATAACTAGATTCTCTATGTAATAGAGTTGCTGAATTTGTGAGGAAATGTTTGTATGCCAAGAAAGCACATTCTACCAACTTATCAACAGATATTTTATCGAAATCAGAAGTTGAAGTAATGGCTCCAGCTAAACCCTCTTTTCTTGCACTTTGAAAGGAGAAATATCCATCAACATGAAAGATCAACAATGGCATGCAAAAATTACTGGCTTTAGCAAAATTACAGTCGACCATCTCATTTTCAATATAACCTGCTCTCTTTGCCTCATAAGCTAGCCTTGCCACATAAGACAACAGTCTGGCCCCTACAGGAAATCCATCACGAGCCCAGAATAAAAGCATCTCTTGCATCCTCTCTTGTGGATTAAAAATAAAGGTACGAATAAGTAAGGCTGTGGGAGAATCAACTTCATCATCACTTTCCGGACAATCTGTACAAATTGCAAGAGGAGCAAAAAGTTTGTAGCCAGTCATTTCATAGTCCTCTTTTATCTTAGAAGATAATACTTTAGGACAAATTAAACCAGTTCCTGGCCTTACTTTATCAACATCTGCAAATGCCAACATTATTGCTTCTAGAGTCTGAAAACCCAATTTTTTTGACTGTTTGATAGTTTCCCCAAGAGATTGAACAAATTTCTCAATAGCATCAACATGATTTTCACCAGTGACAGCAGAACTACAAGAGGCAAGTGAGAAATCTGAAGCAAGAACGTTTGCAGTTTCCATACTATGTTTAGAATTATGCCTTGCTAGTGATGGGATTGAGGTTCCCTGGCAAGATCCGTCCTGCAAACTTAAAGGTGGCACAGAGTGACTAGGAAGTTTAGGACAATGGATTGGCTGTGAATCCTTAAGAATTCTCATTTTAGAGTATGACAAAAACTTCTCTAGTCTTTCTCTTAGAAAAGGAGAAAGTGCATTACATGAGGTTAGAATCTCCAGCGAAGGAACAACTCCTTTACGAACCAGAATACTGAATGCTGATGATACACCCTTAACTATGATTTCGTTATGATCAACGTCATAATTGTCCACAAGAAGTAACAGAAATTCAAGTAGACTGTGAGTCATGTCAATGTAATTGGGTATTGAGCAAACCATCAATAACAAAGCAGGTTCTATGTTCATGATATTATCTACTCTTTCATCAAAGAACAACCAATCATAAAAAAGAGCCAGTTTAACATTAGCTTCAATGTAATTCTTGCTACACAATTTCAAGAGCCAACCTATAACAGCCCATCTTGGAATAATATCAGACTGAAGAATTTCATTAGATGGGTGGTGCGCACAACATATAAACCGAACAATGTCAATTAAAAGAGTTTCTCTCTCAGACCCTACAAGGAACTTCCTAAAAAACCATTCTTGATACCGCTTCTGGCTCCCAAACTTCACATGTCTAAGTAAAAATCTTAATTGGGTTTCCATTTCTGGAGTGATTCGGAGCAAGAAGTACCGGCTTGAAGTTCTTGACCCATAAACTTGTGAAATATCTGAAAATCCTAGAGTTGTAAACTCACCTGGGTTCAATGCCAGGTCTTTCCAAATAGCTTTGAACTCAGGGACATGAACTAAGTCTTGTAATAGCCGAATAAGATCCCTGCCTATCTTCAAACACAAATGAAACTGCTCCCTCAACATTTTAACACAGAATTCTATCTCTAATTGCCTTAAAGCCTCCAATTTTGCATTATTCATTAACCTACAATGATCAGCTAATAAACGAAGAAAAGTATACAATGCACTTGTTAAAACAAAAGGCTCTTCTTCTAACAAAGTATCCCACTTGGCAAGCAAGAGGTTCACCAACTCAAAGCACAACAACAAATTCTCATCACTAAAATCCCCACCAACAATTTGCCTCAATAAACTGACCAACAAACCATCAAACTTCATAGCTGAAACATAAATCATCTCCCTTGTAACCCAAAGCAACTGATTCTTTGCTGAATCCAAAAGTTTGGCATATACTCCAGTAACAACATTGATGAGCAAACTCAGAAATGAGTCGTACCCATCAGAAACAATTGCATGTAAATGCTTAATATGAGTTGTGGCAAAATGGGGCTCACATAAAACCCCATAAAGAATGGCTCTATTAAGTTGCAAATACTCTTCTGTGGTGGGGACACTTAAGGGAAATGGAGGTCGTAGTTTTGGCTCAAGAACCTCAAAAGCATGCCTTAGAGAGAGCTCTAATTGGTTCTCAGCTTCATGGAATTCTGTCCGAATCAGCTTTGAAGCCATAATCAGTTCATCAAATGCGGACTGTTAGGATTGCAAGTGATTATAGTTTTCCTGCAACTTTGGAAGAAAACAAATATATGAACTTACTAAAGTAAACTGTAAAAGATAAGAAGTGACAACTGCAAATTTAAGAAATATTAAATTTTGATAAAAGTGTAGTACTCCTGGTTCTCAATTCCAAGCAGACACATATCAAGAGAGGCCCATGTATATTATGAATCTCAAAGAGATTCTCAAATCCAAACAAAGAAAAAAAGACAGATATCCATGTAAAATACAAATAAATATTATTATAAAGTGCTTATGTAAAGAACTTAACACAATCAACTCTATAGTAGCTGACATACACAAAATTCTCAAAATTGCTTCCCTAAATTTAAAGTTATTTTCAGAGAGAGATTTTATTTTGAGTGCATAATATCTATTATTTGAACTGGTTTGATAGAAAGGAATGGGCAAAGTCCAAATGAAAATACCATTCTATTTCTCTTATGAGAACAGCCATTAGTCAATTCAGTGTTCTATAATTGTCTCAAATATGTTTTGCATAATCCAATCAACTCTTAAATGTGATCCTTAAAAACCCCTTTGTTTTAAATAATTTTGAAGAGACCCTAGGAAATTTATCCTACATCACTTACTAACCTACTGTATTTCCTCCTTTTTTTTTTTTTTTGAAAATCCAGAAACAGACAAATGAAAAAAAAATAAAAGGGAAGAAAAATATTGGTGACATTTGAAAATAAACACAACAAACATTAAAAAAAACCACTAAAAGAAGCTGTAAATATTTTGAACTAACAAATGGTGTAGCCAATAAAAAATAAATGAAATCTAATATATAAAAGTTAATAACACTCTGCTTTTCTCAATGCAGCTTTTAAGAAGATCTTGGACCAATGTACCCATTAGTTAGGGCTGATAATAGCTCGTAGTAGAACAAGACTATACTCAAAGAAAACAAGAACTAGCACAGGGAATGCTACAATCATTCAAAAGGAAGATTAATCTCTAAAACTAAAAGACAAACAACGCAGCTCAATAAAAGCATTTCATAAGACCCTATGCAGAGTCGAATTATCATCACCATGATCAGTCAAATAAAAGAATAAAACCATTTTAGACAAATTCATCGATCATTGCCACAACTTAAATCTTTACCAATACAGGAATTACTCGGCACTGGAAGAGTCAATCAACACAAACTACAGTCAACGATTCAGTATCAAGAGATAAACAATAGGTAACATCGTTCCCACTTAAAGGACGAAAAAAACACAAATGCAAAGAAATATGTACAAAGAAGAGAACCAAAGGCTACCGTCGATTCCACAGATGATGCAGGCCCGAAACTGAACCCGGCTTCTCTTGTTTCTTTCCTCCCAATCTTCTCTGGATTTCTCTTCACTGCTTCCAGTTTTCTTTCCCTCCAATCCTCCCAAATGCTGTCTCCTCCTTCAGGTACTTCTCCTTCCTTCTATATAGTCCGAAGATGTGAAGCTACTCTACTTCGATTCTTCAAACACCTCGTGCACTTTAACAAAACTATGCTTTCATCGTATGAGTCCCCAGGCCTCACTATCGACTTCAATATCATCATCGAATGCCTTGATTATACGACCCCTCTCTTCCTCGCGCGGCTTCCAGATTCTCGTTTGCTCTGCTTTCTGCTTCACGCGGGCTTCTTCTCCTTCCTGGCTTTTAACGCACGGGTGACTGAGCTCTGATTCAGACTTTCAAATTACTTGGGCCTTCGGTATGGGCCCGTGATTTTTCTTTTTATTTGGATATTTGAAAAATTAAAAGAGAAAAGTAAATATAGTGACAAAGGATTTACCATGTTTGGTTGCTTGGCGAGAAGGAAAGAAAATTATGTGCTTTTATAAATTTACTCTTTATAGCATTATTTAATCACATTTTTTTATTTACTATTATATGTCTATGTAGAATAGTGGTACTTGCTAATCCTATTAGTTTTAAAAATATTTCGTAAAATAAATCTCGACTAACAAAAAGGAGATGGTAAATCAAAATTAAACAGTTTCAATAAATAATTAAAATTTGTCATTATATATTTAGTATCTACATTCTCTTGATGTGATTTAAACTTTTGTTTTTTTTTTTTGGAATGATTGTAGTAAAGCAAAATCTTTAACCTCTCAATGCATTTGGTTATTACAAAATGATCTACTCAAAATTTTCAATAAATAACTTTTAACATTGAAGTTCAAATATAAAATTTGTGTGTGCAGAATTATAAAAACTTAGTTTTAAATATTTTTCTCAAAATAAATTAATAAAATAAGAATTTTATAAGACCTAAATTATAACAACTCAAAAGAATTGGACAGTTAGGATTTGATGTTGAGATCCAACGGTCTAAAATCACCGAGAAGCCCCATATATAAACTCTCTTTTTAGCCCACCTCAAAAAGAAAACCTAGCCTCCATGGGGAAAAAAAAAGAGAGAAAGAGAAGAAAAGAGAGAGAGAGAGCCACGTGAAATCGACTCGAGTGGATGGTCACTGCGTGAGGGCGTCAAAGTGCAGCAATGAAGGAGTCACCAAAGGGAGGAAATAAAATTACATTTCTTTGGGCCAAGAGTCTGAATCTGATGTCGATTTCGATAAATCTTTTTCTATCTGACATTCGATTATTCATCTTTTAAATCAAACCCTTAATCGTATGTATAGATATCTTTGAAAATAGAGATTAAAAAACTGGATGGGAAGCCGAACGTGGTGAAAACTGAATTTGTTCAAACTTTTCGATTCCTTCATTCGTTTGAGATTCAAGAAAGAATACCTAAATCCTTCCTCTATGATGGTTTATTCAAATCCCTAACTAAAAATAAAAAATAATTAATTTAACCCATGTTATGTTGTCAATTCGATTCGATGCTGCCGATTGAGTTAATTAATTTTGATCTTTCTTCTAGTTATATGTCCATTTTGGTTTTATTTTATTTTTATTCGTATTTTATTTACATTTTTATTTATATTTGTTATTTTTTATGTATTAGTTTATTTATTTTGTTTTTATTTTTATTTTTTTTTACAGTTTATAATTATCGATGTGTAGATTATATATATATATATATATATATGAGAACTATTTCGATGTATGGATAATAAATATGTGTTTTGACAGTTATAGTGGTGTAAGTTGTATCTGTGCATGTGTTTGCTGGTTGATTATGTTGACTATGAATCTCATGGATATGCTGTAAATATCTGAAATATTAAAAGAAATAAATTTATAATTTAAATGCGGAAGCGAATAATAGAATTAGGGTTTACATTTCTTACACAATAATTTAGAATGTCCAATAGGGTTACGAAAATATCTCTTCTAAAAGACAAATAGTAATTAAAAAAAATGAATAAATAAACATTTTAAGACAACCTTCACTAGCACTTGAAGAGAGTCCAAGTGGTGAACTATTCACAACTCTCTTACTGATCGGGATCTGGATCTTGGTCTTCTTGATCTAAAATAGTTAATGAAAGGGTGAGCTACACTAATCTAGTAACAATATCACACTAATCACAGATACGAAAAATTGAAGATCGGTAAAAATAAAAAAAAAAACTAATGGAGCTATTGTCTTAATTAAATACATTTAACTTAGAGACGTTTGTTTGATCTTTACTATTACGAGTTTTTTAAAAAACAACCTATGAAAACCCATATCCATACCACTTTTCATTTTACATATAAGAGAACAATAGATGACAATTTTCTTTTCTTACTTGTTTACTGGTACCACCCCTGGGGATCCATATGGATGTCCCCCTACTCGTGAACCAAATATCCAATTTTAACAATTAACTGGCCGTCCCCATACCCTGTCAGGTAATGGGCATCAAACATTCAATCGTCTCGATACCCTATCCAGTATGAGAGTGAATCATATCTCCTAAACCTTTTCGATATGGGACTTCTCAACCCCGTCCAACTGAGATAACATTCATGGTAGAGTTCCATATGTACTGGGCCCGTCCGCCCTTTTCCTGAGTACCAAGTAAGTCTTTTACATAAAGATTCTCATTAAGCAAAACAACTAACAAACGCATACAAATTTCTCACATTATATTTGTAGATCAATTAGACGACATTTATGCAGACGATATAGCTCATCATAACAAGGAATCGAGTAACCAAATAATCAAATAAACTAGATAAATCGATAAGACCATTGAAACTATAAATTAAGAATATGCACAATACAATAACAAGCAAGTAGAACAGTACATGAAAATAAATAGAAAATCAGAATAATTGTGAACTAACCAATTCCGTCTCCACTAGTGACCTATAATTATTTTTAAAAATTTTTTAACTTTTCATAAAAATATAAAATTATACATCGTTAAGTATCAATTTATCATAACGGAAAATAGGGTGAGGGATCCTTACTCAGATCAGTATTTTGATACGTCGCACTATCTACTTTGCCTCTTAACGGGTACTGAATTTTCTGA